TGTGCCAATACCTATTGCTGTGATTTTAATGAGACTTTATGCTAGACGAGGTCATTATTTTAATATTGTGAACGCTTTAGTGAGAAATATTTCAATGGATGAAAAATAGCATTCACATAAAGAATTTTATCTGCTTTGGGAAATGTCTCTTTGGTACCATGTAAGTAGGAGAGACACCATCATTACAGGGAGTTAGTAGCTCAGTTAATTTCACTCCAGAATTCACCAGCATGATCTGTATTGGGCAAGCCAGCAGGGTGGAAAAAATTGTTAATTGCAATGTCTGAACAGAGTCATTGCACATTTTGACTTGAGAGACATGAAATTCATCATGTTCGGTTCTGGGACATCACATTTTACTGTGGCGATGGGAAGACTGTGGCCAGAGATGGTAGCTTGAAGCACCTTGCAATTTTATATCAATGAAGTTGATAAAATTGTTCTAATTTTCTGGACATTTTCTGGATGCTAATCCTCTGGACTACTAACGTCAAAATAATTGACTAAAGGGACAGCTCTTTGATTACTCAGTTTGGTAGCAGAACAGGAGGAGGCTATGAATTCTAACGAATAATTGAGCCATTTTAAAAATGCACAGGTATGCAAGGGAGCATAGTTGAAACAGCTGAAGTAGCGAAACTGGATGACCAGCTATACCGAAATATTAATTCACGGGGGGCTGCTAAATGACAGGTCCAAAAGTCCAGAGATGTAAGTTTCAATCTCTGTGTCATCTACAAGACGCATGACAACAATTCCCCAAAGCCACTTCAACCGCATCTTTCAAATCCATGGTAACTACCCATCAAGAGGTACAAGGGAAGCAGGCACGTGGAAACACCACCATCTCCAAGTGCCTCTCTAAATGATGCACAGTTGTCACTTGGAAATTTATCTGATTCCTTCTTTGCTGTGTCAAGATCCTGGAAATACTGAATAGCATTGCACCAAGTGGACTGTAGTGGTTCCAGAAGCTGGTCAACTGCTGTCTTTGTGAGGGCAGTTAGGAATGGGTAAGACATGTTGCCATTGATGATGTACCTACAAACACAGCTGACTTTGTAATTTGCAAGTAAAAAATTGACCATTGCTTCCACCGAGCCATCTGTTAGATCTCATACGTTCGATGAGAGTCCGAGACTGGTGGTAGGTATCAGGTGACCTTCATTGCGATTTACAGCTTTAGTTAAAGATAAGCAAAGAGGCACACAAAAACTTCAGATTGTCTTAACCTATACAGTTTAAATTTAGATCACACACCACCCCCACCGCCTTGATTACTATTGATCAGCAGCGCCGAGTTTTCCCTCTGTAACTGGCTGTCTGATACAGCATTTTACACAGTCCAAGCTTGCATCAGCAATTTCAGTGTATTTCCAATTAAGCTAGTCCTATCACTGAACAACCAAGAAATAGCCAGGCTTGTGGTCCACCCTTGGTCCTTCATCATGTTTTTTTTATCTCCCAGACTTTCTTATCTTCCTTCTTGAGGCTTTTCACAATTAATACTGTATTCGAGTAACATTAGCCAGCTGCACCATGTTAACTGCCAATTAATTGGATACTTGCCTATCACTTCAGGAACCTTTTTAAATTCCTCATTACAGGGAATACAAAAGAATATTGACTTTTGATCAGTCCCAACAAAGTTACGTGGTTTCACCTTATGTTAGAATTCTTTAGGCAACAAATTGTGTCTTAATGTGTTCATTCAGTCCACATTCCAATGTTTGCTAATCTCTGTATTCATTCCTCCCTGTAATAAAGGGGGGCGGATCTGTAACTGCTTTGGAATCTATGTCTATGATTATCTGAAGAATCTTAACTAAAACCTACTCTTAATATTATAACTGATTGATCAAAAAATTCAGGAGAAACAGCTAATTAGTGTGAAACGTTCTTACCAATGTAAGCAACTGCAGCTGCACATTCTATGTTAATCGAGTCCCAAGCGTTCTAACTACTTTGAGCCATGCTCTGCTGCATTAACCACAGGCAGTCTTTGCCCATTTTGTACTACTCCAGTCATGGGCAGTCGTAACACCATCATTTCCTTGGACTTTGTACTGCCCTGCATATTCTCACTGAAACAATTTAAAATGCAATTATTATTGTTCTGCTTCTCATTAACGTTGGCAATTGTGAATTGGTTGAATTAGGGCTGCCGTTTAAACTGTCACAGTATGGCGTCGTAGGCTTGGTATAATGACAGTTATCTTATGTTTATGCAAAACATGCCAATATTTTAAAACAAACCCTTGGGTTATTTTTAACATGAACTTCTCACAGGGATGATAAAAAAGCAAATTACATAATTAACGTTTGTAAGTTATATTAGTTCTGGTTAATTTCTAGATCTTTGCATTAGATTTTTGCACCAAAGTTTCTTTGCCTTGCTATCGAAATAAAAGCTGAAAGCTAAATTAATTATACTTTAACATTAATAATGATGATATCATTCCTGTGCTAATAATACTTGGACAAGTTGGAAATGCATGAATGCTAGTGTTGATACACCTACTGACATACATATTTTTAATACTTGCTTTACTATTTATTCCAATTATCCGGGACTGATTCAAAATGGAATAGAGCGCTCCTATTCAATTATTTATTAATTGGTTTTAGGCTAGATTCGATGAGGTCATATCAAGCAATTTGGACTCATTATCAGAATCTGTTTTTTGTAAGATTCCAATGTCCCATCCAAGAGTATAACCTCTATAGGCAGCACCAACTTGAATGGGAGCAAAGGCAAGAATGCAAGGAAGCAATGGAGAAAGACTAAAATAAAATTGATTTCCAGGTTATCAGCTGGAATTATAATGTTTCATCTTGCCTTTTAAAAAGGGAATGAGGAAGGAGCATCAGGAGATCGAGGTCAGAGCTAACACGGAGAGGAACGAGTCATCGACCTTGTCTATGTGGAAGTAAAAATCCACAGTCTAAAACAAAGAATCAGCATAATTAAACAGGGTTTTAAATCTTAGATAAAAACAGAAGTAACTGGAGAAACTCATAAGATCCAGCAGCATATATGGGGGAAAGCAGAATCAAAGTTTTGGGAACAGTGACCCTTCTTCAAAACCTAATTGTTTTCAATCTTAGACTTGTGTTCAAAGTCTTGAGTTTTGTTTTATTGTTAAATCTACAGTGTAGACTAATAAATGTACGGCTGGCAGGACACCTTAGTCCTGTCAGATGTACGATTTGCATCATCGATGTGATGATGGGTCACTGACTTGAAACGTTGGCCTGCATTGTCTTGATGTGAAGTTAGGGTTGACAGCAGAGGCTGCCCTGTTTTGCTGGGCAGCTGGGTCCAGGGAGCCATGTTGTTGGCCAGTTCAAGCACCACTATTTCTGGTTGGCAGACCAATAAGAAACTGAGTATTTCGGTAGCATCACTCCTGATGGTGGCCATTGCTGAGGCAGCTACTGCTGGAAAGTGTGTCTTACTGACCGGATGCCTCAAAGCTCAAGGTAGTTGTGGAAAACTAGGCCCTTCCTAATTTGGCAAGGTGGGGCGATGCGCAATAGACAGAAGATAGCCCTTCTATTGATAATGGAGCGCCCATAAATGATGTGCAGTAAGAGGCTGCCAGAGTTTCATTAAGCTGTCTTCTCACACATTTTGATGTGGCAAAATGCCGGTGAATGTAGAAAATGGCCCGTTATTGGCCACTTAAAAGGCTCATTAGGCTTCCAGTGGGCAGTGTACCTGAAAACCTTTCAGCAGCTTTGAAAATTGAACGCCCCCTAAGATGCATTCCTTGCCACTTTGGCAACTCTCCTCCCTCCCCAGACCATTGTCAAAAGCCTGGAAAATTGCAACCTTGACCTCTGGTTTTTCTCTCTCCACAAATGCTGCCTGATCTGAGTATTTCCAGCATTCTCATTTTCATTTCAGGTTTCCTGCACCTGCATAATTTTGCTTTTGAGGAAGGAGGCATTGCTGGATCCAGTGCTGGGGAAAGAAATGGTTAAAGTGGACGAGGTGTGAATAGGGGAACTTGGGCAGAATATTGATTGTAGAATCCTAAGATTTAGGTTAGGGCAAATGAAGAGGACAAAAAGTAAAATTACTCAGAGGAGGACAGTTTCACTGGGGTCAGAATGAATTTGTCACAGATAAATTGGAATTGAGCAAAACTGTGAAGTAAAAATTGGATGCCTTTAAAGATCAAAGAATTTGTGTAATATATATAGAGCATCCAATTGGAGGTCCCTAGATGTGAGAAAAGGCGGGGAGTATGACGAATTAAAAAAAAACTGTGGGGTGGGAGCATATGACAGATATCATGGCAAGCAAGAACCTGGATCAATATACAAAGTTTGGAGAAGTGAGGAAGGGCAAAGACAGTTTGAGAAGTGATTGGCAGTAAATACAATAAGCAGTCCAAATGCCTCCCATAAATGTAAATACTAAAAGCTTAAGAAAAGGAGTGTTGGGATTGAGAGAGATAGTAGGAACTGCAGATGCTGGAGAATCTG